CTGTATCCTGTGCCTCTGTATCCTGTGTCTCTGTATCCTGTGTCTCTGTATCCTGTGTCTCTGTATCCTGTGCCTCTGTATCCTGTGCCTCTGTATCCTGTGTCTCTGTATCCTGTGCCTCTGTATCCTGTGTCTCTGTATCCTGTGCCTCTGTATCCTGTGTCTCTGTATCCTGTGTCTGTGTATCCTGTGCCTCTGTATCCTGTGTCTCTGTATCCTGTGTCTCTGTATCCTGTGCCTCTGTATCCTGTGTCTCTGTATCCTGTGTCTCTGTATCCTGTGCCTCTGTATCCTGTGTCTCTGTATCCTGTGTCTCTGTATCCTGTGCCTCTGTATCCTGTGTCTCTGTATCCTGTGTCTCTGTATCCTGTGCCTCTGTATCCTGTGCCTCTGTATCCTGTGCCTCTGTATCCTGTGTCTGTGTCTCTGTATCCTGTGTCTCTGTATCCTGTGTCTCTGTATCCTGTGCCTCTGTACCCTGTGTCTCTGTATCCTGTGTCTCTGCATCCTGTGTCTCTGTATCCTGTGTCTCTATCCTGTGCCTCTGTATCCTGTGCCTCTGTATCCTGTGTCTCTGTATCCTGTGTCTGTGTATCCTGTGCCTCTGTATCCTGTGCCTCTGTATCCTGTGTCTCTGTATCCTGTGTCTCTATATCCTGTGCCTCTGTATCCTGTGTCTCTGTATCCTGTGTCTCTGTATCCTGTGTCTCTGTATCCTGTGTCTCTGTATCCTGTGCCTCTGTATCCTGTGTCTCTGTATCCTGTGCCTCTGTATCCTGTGCCTCTGTATCCTGTGCCTCTGTATCCTGTGCCTCTGTATCCTGTCTCTGTATCCTGTGCCTCTGTATCCTGTGTCTCTGTATCCTGTGTCTCTGTATCCTGTGTCTCTGTATCCTGTGCCTCTGTATCCTGGTGTCTCTGTATCCTGTGCCTCTGTATCCTGTGTCTCTGTATCCTGTGTCTCTGTATCCTGTGTCTCTGTATCCTGTGTCTCTGTATCCTGTGTCTCTGTATCCTGTGCCTCTGTATCCTGTGCCTCTGTATCCTGTGCCTCTGTATCCTGTGTCTCTGTATCCTGTGTCTCTGTATCCTGTGCCTCTGTATCCTGTGCCTCTGTATCCTGTGCCTCTGTATCCTGTGCCTCTGTATCCTCTGTCTCTGTATCCTGTGTCTCTGTATCCTGTGCCTCTGTATCCTGTGTCTCTGTATCCTGTGCCTCTGTATCCTGTGTCTCTGTATCCTGTGTCTCTGTATCCTGTGTCTCTGTATCCTGTGTCTCTGTATCCTGTGTCTCTGTATCCTGTGCCTCTGTATCCTGTGTCTCTGTATCCTGTGCCTCTGTATCCTGTGCCTCTGTATCCTGTGCCTCTGTATCCTGTGTCTCTGTATCCTGTGTCTCTGTATCCTGTGCCTCTGTATCCTGTGCCTCTGTATCCTGTGTCTCTGTATCCTGTGTCTCTGTATCCTGTGTCTCTGTATCCTGTGTCTCTGTATCCTGTGTCTGTGTCTCTGTATCCTGTGCCTCTGTATCCTGTGCCTCTGTATCCTGTGTCTCTGTATCCTGTGTCTCTGTATCCTGTGTCTCTGTATCCTGTGTCTCTGTATCCTGTGCCTCTGTATCCTGTGTCTCTGTATCCTGTGTCTCTGTATCCTGTGGTTGGACTGATCTCTTCTTCTTCACAGGTATTAATAATAATCTGCAGCTGCTGCTCAGAGGAAACTGACGACATGGAACAGAAACATCTGCTGTCTACGAACTGTAATCATCTATAATCTATATCTATAATCTATATCTATAATCTATATCTATAATCTATATCTATAATCTATATCTATAATCTATATCTATAATCTGTATCTATAATCTATATCTATATCTATATCTATAATCTATATCTATATATCTATAATCTATATCTATAATCTATATCTATAATCTATATCTATAATCTATATCTATAATCTATATCTATAATCTATATCTATAATCTATATCTATAATATATATCTATAATCTATATCTATAATCTGTATCTATAATCTGTATCTATAATCTATAATCTATATCTATAATCTGTATCTATAATCTATAATCTATAATCTATATCTATAATCTATAATCTATATCTGTAATCCGTATCTATAATCTATATCTATAATCTATATCTATAATCTATATCTGTAATCCGTATCTATAATCTATATCTATAATCTATATCTATCTAAATAATCTTCACACTTTTGGGTTCAAATGGTTGGATTATGATATTGTTTGTATTTACTTTAAATCCACCCTGTGTCATTTTTACAGTTGCTCCAAATAAAAAACATGTTAAATAATAATAAATGTGACCTTTTTAAGAATATTTATCTCCACCATGTTTTTTAATTGTTTTCATAAACTTAGAATTTAACTTATAAACAGTGTTGGGCACGTTACTTTGAAAAAGTAATTAGTTATAGTTACTTTTTGGGAGAAGTAACTAGTAACTGAGTTACTAACGGAGTTACTCCACTATAAAAGTAAGTAAGTTTTATTTATATAGCGCCTTTCACAGACCAGAGTCTCAAAGCAGTTTACAATTGTTATTTTTTGGGCATTTGTCTCTCACTCCACACAGAGATGGGAGCGGGGTCGCTGAACAGGAGGCACATGCCAGAACTATTGTACATATTTTTAGTGGTAGGGGAAACCGGAGTACCCGGAGGAAACCTACGCAGACACAGGGAGAACATGCAAACTCCACTCAGAAAGGCCCTGGTCCAGCCGGGATTCGAACCCAGGACCTTCTTGCTGAGAGGCGAGAGTGCTATCCACTCAGCCACCGTGCCGCCCCTTAAAAGTAACTAGTTACCTTTAACCTTTAACCTTTAACCTCAGTGAGTCTGAAATAGTGGTGATATTTCCATCTAGAAAAGTGTGTTTTTCTGCTGAAGTCCTGTTCAGTCTCCATCTGTCTCTGTGTAAGCACTAAACACCAACACCCGCCACTGTGAATGTGGAAACACCAAGCACTGACTTCAGCCCAACATATATATGATATATATATATACATATATCATATAAATCAACTGGACCAAGAGAGCGGCGTATTCACACTTTGTTTGGCTACAGCAGAATATGTTTCATGCATTGTTTGTTCAAACAAAACGCAAAACTATGAGTTATGGGTCTTACCTTATAAATGACCTGCACAGTCCACTTCGGTTCAGACCAGTTCTGTGTTTAAGTCCAGATAATAGTTTGAGCGTAGATATGTAATCCTCCGTTTGGAAATGAGTCCAATGAGTTTTAAAAAGTAAAACAAAACGCGTGTGTCCTCCATAAACTCCTCTGTTTTGCTGCAGCCGGCTGCATCCAATTTCTAAAATCAACCGTCTTACACTTCACCTCTTTCTTATCATTCCTATAGTCATTGAAAAATTACCCTAAGTGCATTTTAAATGATCTTAAAATGTGTTATATGTATGTTAGCCAAACCTGCTGCTGGAGCAAGAGAGCAAGATGGCGCCGGGTCAGGGCGCCTCAGTAAGAGCTCTGGTGTGCACTGTCTGTTCTATGTTGTTTATATTCGTCTGTGATACACTTGCCACCGTGAAGTACGACCCAGAGACACTTCTCTACATTCGGGACCGAGCTTGCGGAGTATCGCAGGTCTTACCCGAACTGAGGTGCTTGGACTTCATTGAGTGCCCCACTCGTGAGGCCCGTCAGACATGGCAGGCGGGCCGCGGCAATGGCCGCGAACAGAGCGGGGGGACTGGGCGTCTCCACCGTGCTCTTCGCGGTGTGGAGCTGGGTACCGGGAGCCGACGTAGGAGGCGCAGACACCGGGGAAAACGAGGCGGTCTGCTCGTTCGTAGCCGCTCCTCCAGGACCGCTCTGCCCTCCATCTACCTGGCCAACGTCCAGTCTCTGCCCTCCATCTACCTGGCCAACGTCCAGTCTCTGCCCAACAAGACGGACGAGCTCCTGTGTCGGGTCCAGAGCCAGCGCGAGGCCCGGGACTGTGTTCTGTCTCAGCGAGACGTGGCTCCACTCGAACGTCCCGGACTCTGCTGTTCAGCCCCCGGGATTCACCGCTCACCGCTCGGACAGAGTGAAGGAGACCACGGGCAAGGCCAGAGGCGGAGGTGTGTGCTTTTTAATTAATCAGCGCTGGTGCACGGACACTCGAGTCGTGAACCAAACATGTACTGCCAATCTGGAATGCCTGGTCTTAAGCTGTCGCCCTTTTTATCTTCCCCGTGAGTTTTCAGTGATATTTGTATGTGCTGTTTACATTCACCCACGTGTGGATTACAAAGTAGCCCTACAGGATCTGAGCGAGATCCTTCACAAACATGAGTCTGCTCATCCTAACGCAGTCATCATTGTTGCTGGGATTTCAATAAATGTAATTTAAAGACTGTACTCCCGAACTTTTACCAACATGTGACTCGAGCTACAAGAGGAGCACATGTTCTGGATCACTGCTACAGCAATGTGAAGGGAGCTTACAGGTCCAGTCTCAGACCTCCTTTTGGAAAGTCTGACCACTCCTCTGTTCTCCTTCTTCCTTCGTATACTCAGAGGAGCAGGGAACATAAACCAACCTCTCGCACTGTGCAGTGTTGGTCTGCGGAGGCTAGCATGAAGCTACAAGGTTGTTTTGATGCTACGGACTGGTCTGTGTTTCAGTCAGAGGACGTCAATGAATTCTGTGACGCTGTGTCTGGATACATACGCTTCTGTATTGACTGTTGTGTCCCACAGAAGGTCATTAAAGAACATTTTAGTCAAAACCCTTGGATGAACGCGGAAGTGAAACTGAAACTTCATGAGCGTGCGTTGGCGTTTCAATCAAATGATACAGTTGCCTATAAGCTATCCTGTTACTCATTGAAACGTTCTATTAAATCTGCAAAGCGCAGTTACGGGGACAGGTTAAAGAGTTATTTTGAGGAAGATGACCCTCGGCGCATGTGGAACGGTATTAAAGCCATCACATCGTGGAAACCTAGCGGAGGAGGAGGTGATGGAGGAGGTGATGGAGGAGGTGATGGAGGGGGTGATGAGGAGGTGATGGAGGAGGTGATGAGGAGGTGATGGAGGTGATGGAGGGGGTGATGGAGGAGGTGATGGAGGGGGTGATGAGGAGGTGATGGAGGAGGTGATGAGGAGGTGATGGAGGTGATGGAGGAGGTGATGGAGGAGGTGATGGAGGAGGTGATGGAGGAGGTGATGGAGGAGGTGATGGAGGAGGTGATGGAGGAGGTGATGGAGGAGGTGATGGAGGAGGTGATGGAGGAGGAGATGGAGGAGGTGATGGAGGAGGTGATGGAGGAGGTGATGGAGGAGGTGATGGAGGAGGTGATGAGGAGGTGATGGAGGAGGTGATGGAGGAGGTGATGGAGGAGGTGATGGAGGAGGTGATGAGGAGGTGATGGAGGAGGTGATGGAGGAGGTGCTGATGAGGAGGTGATGGAGGAGGTGAGGATGGAGGTGATGGAGGAGGTGATGCAGGAGGTGATGAAGGAGGTGATGGAAGAGGTGATGGAGGAGGTGAGGATGGAGGTGATGGAGGAGGTGATGGAGGAGGTGAGGATGGAGGAGGTGATGGAGGAGGTGATGGAGGAGGTGATGGAGGAGGTGATGGAGGAGGTGATGGAGGAGGTGATGGAGGAGGTGATGAGGAGGTGCTGGAGGAGGTGATGAGGAGGTGCTGGAGGAGGTGATGCAGGAGGTGATGGAGGAGGAGATGGAGGAGGTGCTGGAGGAGGTGAGGATGGAGGTGATGGAGGAGGTGATGGAGGAGTTGATGCAGGAGGTGATGAAGGAGGTGATGGAAGAGGTGATGGAGGAGGTGAGGATGGAGGTGATGGAGGAGGTGAGGATGGAGGTGAGGATGGAGGTGATGGAGGAGGTGATGGACGAGGTGATGGAGGAGGTGAGGATGGAGGTGATGGAGGAGGTGAGGATGGAGGTGATGATGGAGGTGATGGAGGAGGTGATGGAGGAGGTGATGCAGGAGGTGATGGAGGAGGTGATGGAGGAGGTGATGAGGAGGTGATGGAGGAGGTGCTGGAGGAGGTGATGGAGGAGGTGATGGAGGAGGTGATGGAGGAGGTGATGGAGGTGATGGAGGAGGTGATGGAGGAGGGGATGGAGGAGGTGATGGAGGAGGTGATGGAGGAGGTGATGGAGTAGGTGATGGAGGAGGTGATGGAGGAGGTGATGAGGAGGTGATGAGGAGGAGATGGAGGAGGTGCTGGAGGAGGTGATGAGGAGGTGATGGAGGAGGGGATGAGGAGGTGATGGAGGAGGTGAGGATGGAGGTGCTGGAGGAGGTGATGGAGGAGTTGATGGAGGAGGTGATGGAGGAGGTGATGGAGGAGGTGCTGGAGGAGGTGATGAGGAGGTGATGGAGGAGGTGATGGAGGAGGTGCTGGAGGAGGCGATGAGGAGGTGATGGAGGAGGTGAGGATGGAGGTGATGGAGGAGGTGATGCAGGAGGTGATGGAGGAGGTGATGCAGGAGGTGATGGAAGAGGTGAGGATGGAGGAGGTGATGGAGTAGGTGAGAATGGAGGTGAGGATGGAGGTGATGGAGGAGGTGATGGAGGAGGTGATGGAGCAGGTGCTGGAGGAGGTGATGAGGAGGTGATGAGGAGGTGATGGAGGAGGTGATGCAGGAGGTGATGGAGGAGGTGATGGAAGAGGTGATGGAGGAGGTGATGGAGGAGGTGATGGAGGAGGTGAGGATGGAGGTGATGGAGGAGGTGAGGATGGAGGTGATGGAGGAGGTGAGGATGGAGGTGATGATGGAGGAGGTGGAGGAGGTGATGGAGGAGGTGATGGAGGAGGTGAGGGGAGGAGGTGATGAGGAGGTGATGAGGAGGTGATGGAGGAGGTGATGGAGGAGGTGAGGATGGAGGTGATGGAGGAGGTGATGGAGGAGGTGATGAGGAGGTGATGGAGGAGGTGATGGAGGAGGTGTGAGGAGGAGGTGATGGAGGAGGTGATGGAGGAGGTGATGGAGGAGGGATGATGGAGGTGATGGAGGAGGTGATGCAGGAGGTGATGGAGGAGGTGATGGAGGAGGTGATGAGGAGGTGATGGAGGAGGTGATGGAGGAGGTGATGGAGGAGGTGATGGAAGAAGTGATGGAGGAGGTGACGGAGGAGGTGATGGAGGAGGTGAGGATGGAGGTGAGGATGGAGGTGATGGAGGAGGTGATGGAGGAGGTGATGGAGGAGGTGATGAGGAGGTGATGGAGGAGGTGATGCAGGAGGTGATGGAGGAGGTGATGGAAGAGGTGATGGAGGAGGTGATGGAGGAGGTGAGGATGGAGGTGATGGAGGAGGTGAGGATGGAGGTGATGGAGGAGGTGAGGATGGAGGTGAGGATGGAGGTGATGGAGGAGGTGAGGATGGAGGTGATGGAGGAGGTGATGCAGGAGGTGATGGAGGAGGTGATGGAGGAGGTGCTGGAGGAGGTGATGGTGGAGGTGATGGAGGAGGTGATGGAGGAGGTGATGAGGAGGTGATGGAGGAGGTGATGGAGAAGGTGATGGAGGAGGTGATGGAGGAGGTGATGGAGGTGATGGAGGAGGTGAGAATGGAGGTGATGGAGGAGGTGATGGAGGTGATGGAGGAGGTGCTGGAGGAGGTGATGGAGGAGGTGATGGAGGTGATGGAGGAGGTGATGGAGGAGGTGATGGAGGAGGTGATGGAGGAGGTGAGGATGGAGGTGAGGATGGAGGTGATGGAGGAGGTGATGGAGGAGGTGAGGATGGAGGTGATGGAGGAGGTGTTGGAGGAGGTGATGGAGGAGGTGAGGATGGAGGTGATGGAGGAGGTGATGGAGGAGGTGCTGGAGGAGGTGATGGAGGAGGTGAGGATGGAGGTGAGGATGGAGGTGATGGAGGAGGTGATGGAGGAGGTGATGGAGGAGGTGATGGAGGAGGTGATGGAGGAGGTGATGGAGGAGGTGATGAGGAGGTGATGGAGGAGGTGATGAGGAGGTGAGGAGGAGGTGATGCAGGAGGTGATGGAGGAGGTGATGGAGGAGGTGATGGAGGAGGTGATGGAGGAGGTGATGAGGAGGTGATGGAGGAGGTGATGGAGGAGGTGATGGAGGAGGTGATGGAGGAGGTGATGGAGGAGGTGATGGAGGAGGTGATGGAGGAGGTGATGCAGGAGGTGATGGAGGAGGTGATGGAGGAGGTGATGGAGGAGGTGATGGAGGAGGTGATGGAGGAGGTGATGGAGGAGGTGATGGAGGAGGTGATGGTGGAGGTGATGGAGGAGGTGATGGAGGAGGTGATGGAGGAGGTGATGAGGAGGTGATGGAGGAGGTGAGGATGGACTCGATGATGGCCGTGTAGAACTGCAGCTTGGCTTTCCTGAGCTGCCGCAGGAAGTACATCCTCTGCTGGGCCTTCTTGATTGATGGAGGAGGTGATGGAGGAGGTGATGGAGGAAGTACATCCTCTGCTGGGCCTTCTTGATGAGGAGCTGATGGTCGCTCCCACTTGAGGTCCTGGGTGATGGTGGTGCCCAGGAAACGGAAGGACTCCACAGAGGTGATGGAGGAGGTGATGGAGGAGGTGATGGAGGAGGTGATGGTGGTGCCCAGGAAACGGAAGGACTCCACAGAGGTGATGGGGGAGTCCATCACGGAGGGTGGGGGCGGGGGGACAGTGCTCTTCCTGAAGTCCACAATCATCTCCACTGTCTTCTGGGCGTTCAGCTCCAGGTTGTTACCACTGCACCAGGACACCAGCCGGTCCACCTCCCTCCTGTAGGAGACACCAGGACACCAGCCGGTCCACCTCCCTCCTGTAGGAGACACCAGGACACCAGCCGGTCCACCTCCCTCCTGTAGGAGACACCAGGACACCAGCCGGTCCACCTCCCTCCTGTAGGAGACACCAGCACACCAGCCGGTCCACCTCCCTCCTGTAGGAGACACCAGGACACCAGCCGGTCCACCTCCTCCTGTAGGAGACACCAGGACACCAGCCGGTCCACCTCCCTCCTGTAGGAGACACCAGGACACCAGCCGGTCCACCTCCCTCCTGTAGGAGACACCAGGACACCAGCCGGTCCACCTCCCTCCTGTAGGAGACACCAGGACACCAGCCAGTCCACCTCCCTCCTGTAGGAGACACCAGGACAGCAGCCGGTCCACCTCCCTCCTGTAGGAGACACCAGGACACCAGCCGATCCACCTCCCTCCTGTAGGAGACACCAGGACACCAGCCGGTCCACCTCCCTCCTGTAGGAGACACCAGGACACCAGCCGGTCCACCTCCCTCCTGTAGGAGACACCAGGACACCAGCCGATCCACCTCCCTCCTGTAGGAGACACCAGGACACCAGCCGGTCCACCTCCCTCCTGTAGGAGACACCAGGACACCAGCCGGTCCACCTCCCTCCTGTAGGAGACACCAGGACACCAGCCGGTCCACCTCCCTCCTGTAGGAGACACCAGGACACCAGCCGGTCCACCTCCCTCCTGTAGGAGACACCAGGACACCAGCCGGTCCACCTCCCTCCTGTAGGAGACACCAGGACACCAGCCGGTCCACCTCCCTCCTGTAGGAGACACCAGGACACCAGCCGGTCCACCTCCCTCCTGTAGGAGACACCAGGACACCAGCCGGTCCACCTCCCTCCTGTAGGAGACACCAGGACACCAGCCAGTCCACCTCCCTCCTGTAGGAGACACCAGGACAGCAGCCGGTCCACCTCCCTCCTGTAGGAGACACCAGGACACCAGCCGGTCCACCTCCCTCCTGTAGGAGACACCAGGACACCAGCCGGTCCACCTCCCTCCTGTAGGAGACACCAGGACACCAGCCGGTCCACCTCCCTCCTGTAGGAGACACCAGGACACCAGCCGGTCCACCTCCCTCCTGTAGGAGACACCAGGACACCAGCCGGTCCACCTCCCTCCTGTAGGAGACACCAGGACACCAGCCAGTCCACCTCCCTCCTGTAGGAGACACCAGGACAGCAGCCGGTCCACCTCCCTCCTGTAGGAGACACCAGGACACCAGCCGGTCCACCTCCCTCCTGTAGGAGACACCAGGACACCAGCCGGTCCACCTCCCTCCTGTAGGAGACACCAGGACACCAGCCGGTCCACCTCCCTCCTGTAGGAGACACCAGGACACCAGCCGGTCCACCTCCCTCCTGTAGGAGACACCAGGACACCAGCCGGTCCACCTCCCTCCTGTAGGAGACACCAGGACACCAGCCAGTCCACCTCCCTCCTGTAGGAGACACCAGGACAGCAGCCGGTCCACCTCCCTCCTGTAGGAGACACCAGGACACCAGCCGGTCCACCTCCCTCCTGTAGGAGACACCAGGACACCAGCCGGTCCACCTCCCTCCTGTAGGAGACACCAGGACACCAGCCGGTCCACCTCCCTCCTGTAGGAGACACCAGGACACCAGCCGGTCCACCTCCCTCCTGTAGGAGACACCAGGACACCAGCCGGTCCACCTCCTCCTGTAGGAGACACCAGGACACCAGCCGGTCCACCTCCCTCCTGTAGGAGACACCAGGACACCAGCCGGTCCACCTCCCTCCTGTAGGAGACACCAGGACACCAGCCAGTCCACCTCCCTCCTGTAGGAGACACCAGGACAGCAGCCGGTCCACCTCCCTCCTGTAGGAGACACCAGGACACCAGCCGATCCACCTCCCTCCTGTAGGAGACACCAGGACACCAGCCGGTCCACCTCCCTCCTGTAGGAGACACCAGGACACCAGCCGATCCACCTCCCTCCTGTAGGAGACACCAGGACACCAGCCGGTCCACCTCCCTCCTGTAGGAGACACCAGGACACCAGCCGGTCCACCTCCCTCCTGTAGGAGACACCAGGACACCAGCCGGTCCACCTCCCTCCTGTAGGAGACACCAGGACACCAGCCGGTCCACCTCCCTCCTGTAGGAGACACCAGGACACCAGCCGGTCCACCTCCCTCCTGTAGGAGACACCAGGACACCAGCCGGTCCACCTCCCTCCTGTAGGAGACACCAGGACACCAGCCGGTCCACCTCCCTCCTGTAGGAGACACCAGGACACCAGCCGGTCCACCTCCCTCCTGTAGGAGACACCAGGACACCAGCCAGTCCACCTCCCTCCTGTAGGAGACACCAGGACAGCAGCCGGTCCACCTCCCTCCTGTAGGAGACACCAGGACACCAGCCGATCCACCTCCCTCCTGTAGGAGACACCAGGACACCAGCCGGTCCACCTCCCTCCTGTAGGAGACACCAGGACACCAGCCGGTCCACCTCCCTCCTGTAGGCGGACTCATCGTTGTTGGAGATGAGTCCAATGAGGGTGGTGTTGTCCGTGAACTTGATCAGCTTCACGGAGTCGTGGCTGGAGGTGCAGTGGGAGGAGGTGCAGTGGGAGGAGGTGCAGTGGTTGGAGGTGCAGAGGAGGTGCAGAGGAGGTGCAGTGGTTGGTGTACAGGGAGAAGAGCAGGGGAGAAAGAACACAGCCCTGTGGGGCTCCTGTATTTATAATCCGAGAGTCTGAGACATTCTTCCCCAGACGCACTCGCTGCTTCCTGTCCGTCAGGAAGTCAGTGATCCACCTGCAGGTGGAATCGGGCACGTTGAGCTGGGAGAGCTTGTCCTGGAGCAGGGATGGCAGGATTGTGTTGAAGGCAGAGCTGAAGTCCACGAACAGGACCCTGGCGTAGGTCCCCGGGGAGTCCAGGTGCTGTAGGATGTGGTGGAGGGCCAGGTTAATGGCGTCGTCTACAGATCTGTTGGCTCTGTAGGCGAACTGCAGGGGGTCCAGGAGGGGGGAGGTGAACTGCAGGGGGTCCAGGAGGGGGGAGGTGAAGGACTTGAGATGTAAAGCTCCTTCTGACTGGAACAGTTTACCTTCATCCGCTCTGACTTCTCTGCCTCTGTTTAACACTGCTCTGGTCCAACACCTCCAGAACCAAGGCCAGTGTTACTGAGCATACACTGTGAATTCTTGTTTTGACTTTTAGTTATCTCAACCCATAATATTAAGTTAAATCAGCATGTTTTTCCCAAAAAGCTATCACAAATCGAAATCATGAATTGAAACAACTCTTCAGCAGTAAACGTAAAAATCCAATTCAAGATAACTTGTTGAGTTAATTGACTTGATTATTCTTGGTAAACACTTTTAATTGAGGACGTCATCACGTCTGCGTCACACGGAAGCTGCCTCTTCGCGGCCATGACCGCATGGTTGTAGCAGAGGTTGGGACTTCATCTACAACTTCTGTTGGGACTTTTGGCATCTTCCTCACATCTTTCTTTGGTAAGTAAACTCTTTGATCTGTTGTAGACAGCTGTATGTCTTGCAAAATAATCTAAGATATCAGCCTTAGCGATAGGCTGTGTCGTCGTGAACCTGCGAGAATGGCGGAGGTGGACCGTGTTGTTCGTGCCTTCAAAGCAATGTAAAGAGAAAAGAAAGTTTTTTGTTGATAGGTCACATAATCATACTCTAAATATCTGTGTTGGTGCTATATATGTGGGTATTCAACTTTCTATTCAATTTTTTGAGTGGGTTTGTGTTTATAGTGGGACTATTTCTTTGACGTTCGTTGTACTACGTTCAAAGATACTGTTTGTTTGGTCCTTCTTCACACACCGGGAGTGACATGTGAGCTGTGTTTACTGCATTACTGAGTTCTAACAGTACAACAGTGCCATGGCTTCGGATACGCTGTACAGATCTAATCTGTTATACTTTCCGTTACAGTCTGTTTGTCTCAGTGAATGAGATGCACACAGTGGCCGCTGATACACGGTCCCCGGGGGCCGCTGGACTACAGCACTCGCTCGGGACCAGCGGGACCCGGCTCTTCACTCACGACATGTACTTGTGTGTGTGCGGAGGCTGCTCAGGAGAGACCGGTTTCTCCAGTGGAGCCTGCGCAGGTATTGATTTATTTGCACATACGACAAAAAAAGCGATGTACAACTTTACATTTGACTGGTAGCTACTCATTTAGCAGCATAGCATGTCGCACGCTAATGTTAACCAGCAGTTTTAGACCCATCTATGAGCATTGTGCAACGTAAAGCTCATTTTGTTTTCACGTGATGGACTCATTTTAATGCCTCTTATTTTCTACCGCAGGAGTACAGCGTACACTGTCCACTGGTCGAGGCTCCTGGACGACTTGAATCAGGTCTGAACAAAATGTGTTTTATACATGGCATCTGTTCTGTTTGTTTAGCCATTCAGAATAGCTCCAGTAGTATGCTTGTTGCAAGAAATCCACATTTTACACTCTGAAGTTAATTCTATTATATTTCTTGTATAATTCACATTACAGGGGTAGCCTTTACTGCTAGATGGACAGTTTTGTTGTGGATTATCTACAATGCTTGTAAACATACGTCTTTACTCTGAGTGTCTTCTATGACTGTAAAAGTGCCGTTACCGGCGTCTGCATCAAAGCTCCGCCCACTTCTGTGTTTTTCCCCAACGCAGGACAGGACGTAAGAGACGCACATGTTTGGAATGTTACGAATGTGATTGATAACGCAGATGTGTGGATGCAAATTATTTTATAAACTGAGGAGGGGAAATATTTGGATTTAAAAAAAATAGGCATGGCACATGGACATGGCACCACAGTCAAATGACATCTGTGTTTTACTCAGTAATGTTTTACTGACACTTAGGTGACTGCACATGCGCAAACAACCGCGCTCAGTGCAGGAAAGCTAAACCACGACAAACTTGTCAGCGAGTTACCACCAATTTTCCGGACTATGCATCCCTGGCTGATTCAATTCAGTGCAAGTCATCAGAGTAAACTCGGGTAATGACAAAAAATGTACATAGGTAATTGTGTTGTGTTGTGCTATATTGGCTCATGCGGTTTTGCATGTACATAAACATACATTGTAGGTATAAAGAATGACTGGCCCTGTTCTTTGCACGTTATGTGTTGGAACAATGTAGATTACTTTAAGGTTATGTAGTGTAACCACATCTCATGTGTCCATCGCCTCCCATTTTTAGATTGAATTGGAGTTTGCGCGCCGTACATCTGTCAATCTCACGCTCATCTCTGGAATTGACCAAATAATGCACACATTTAGATTTATATGTTTTTTAAACTTCCCAAGTGTAAATCTATTCTTGATTTTAAATCAGGGCCCCCTTAATAAAAGTGAACCTTTACCTTTAAACTCATAAATGTTCCCAAAATTGCAGTGGCGTTTTTTCCAGTGAAATCTTGTACACTCCATGCACTGCTGTAATGTAAGCTTTTCAATGCTTTGAACCCATTTCAACAAATGTTGACCTTTTTCCAATTAGTGACTCAACTTGCCAACTTTTGCTTCTGTTCAGAGATTACTGTAATTGTATTCTAATGCTGTGCATATTTGTATACTTTTTGAATATGGAAATGGTTTTGGTTTCATTTATTTACATCTCCAAATCTTTTCCAATCATTACACTAATCTGCTTAGTAAAATAACTTAAGTCTAATTCAATCATTCCATGTTACATCCCCCACCTGGCCACCAACTTTTGTTTTTTTTCAATTTGACCTAATGTTTACCTCTTTCTAAAACTCAATCTGCAGAATTAAATGTTTATATCCAGGATTAGTCGACCTAAATGAATCAAATTAGCAGCAGCCGTTGATCATAAACCCAAGTTCTCTAAGTAAATGGTTGTCCTCAGTAATATCAGTAATAGAAACTCTTAACTACCGTCTTTACAGTTGTGGGGGAAATTTAATCCAGATTACATAATGCTTTTCAGTTTGAGGATTTATAATATTTTTTTCTTTCTTTCTAGGAGAACTCTTGACAACTCACTCTTTTAAGAGGGCCGTCCTTCTACTTGGACTTCCACATTTCTTCGGGGACGATTGTTCTTCATTTGTTAAAGCTGTAGAGGTAAGATTTCAACATCTACGTCTAAACTTTGATCTATATAATATTAACATGTATTTTTATTTGATCAAAGGGCATATCATAAAGGAATAGGCCCCGTGTTTTACAGACTGACACATGTTCTTACCTCAGAACTGATATGTACTGTGTGGTCTGGTGAGGCGTAATAACACGAGGAGCACTACGTCCACGCACTAACTCCTAAAGACTTCTCTCCCGCTCTGCTTGCTTCTATTGACGGAAGTTTGTGCTCCGTTTGCATGACAGAGCGCACGGACAAAGACCAGACAGGTACATATCAACTAGTCTAAGGTAAGTCCATATGTCAGTATGTAAAAACGGTGGCCTATTCCTTTAGAGGATTTGTATACATTTTAACCTATTTCAGCTTTGACTGAAGGTCCAGATCTATTTTAAGTTTGAATAAAAACTGCAGACTCTAAATTATGAAGAAAAAACAAACGTGCCCCCTCGCTATGCCTAAAGAGCCACAATCGGCCCTCACAAGACACAGATGTGGGCATATTACTTTAAGCAATCTTTAAAGGCATACGTACATGCATAATTAGTAATTTGCCTCCACCAAGTGAGCTCAGTTCGGGTTCAAACTCATGTTTGGACTTTTGTCCTTTTTTGATATGAATGCATACATTTGTAATTTTATGTTACAGACCGCTGATGAGAGAATTACAAAGAGATCAAAGTGGGGCCTACTTCTGAAGAGGTCTGAATGTGTCCGTCGTGCTGAAGGAATCAGTGACTGACAGATCTTGGTGATATTTGCACAGCCATGGCAATGCTCATGGGGTTTACAGTTTGAACATGGACTATCCCAGAGAAATGAGGTACACGTTGGAAAGCTTTCAGAAACAGAGGTGGACATTGTTCTTCACTAGTTCATGGTGTGAGGAAAATGTAACATCTTCCGACCCATGATTGTATGTAGTAGTTGTGATCACCCCTTTTGATTTATGAAATGAATTGTGCCAACAAATCAAGAACATTCTCAAAAGCTCAGTTTAAATCTGGGGATAACACATTTTGTTAGATATTTTTCAAGAACACAACTTTTTCAGTTGTGAGAGTGAGGATGGTCCTTGTGTGTGAAAACAAGTTGCGTGGATTTTATTGTGGAGTTAAAATCGTTTTCTGAATGAATATACCATTTAATTCTGGGGTAGATACAGCTGTCAGTCATAAATGTTTGGATAAAAAAAAATATTTGATTAGAGATCCATTTAAAGCTATACTAAAGCTAGCCCTAATTGGATGTAATTGAAAACTCACATTATTTAAAGGGTAATTTTATCCTTTTGTCTGAGTTTGAAATGAAACCATGTGTATGTTTTAATGAGGGCTGATGGACAAGGGCCAGGGTTTAAAAAAAAGTATTGGGTTAGTTTTAAGTTTATTTTGAAGCTAATGCTATTTTTAAGCTTAAAACATATATATTTACATTGTAAAAGTTTGGACTGAATTGTTCATTTAACTTATTGATTTTATTTGAGTTTGTTGAATAATCTTGAATAACATTCAGTATGATTAAGTCGGTGGCAATAAAAATGGTCTTTCCAGCTAAATGTCTTGTAAATTGTTAATAGGGTAAAATGGATTGTGTAAAGTAACAAACCAGTATGTAAAACGATTAAAAATAACCATTTGTTTTAACTTAAACATTCAATTCCAAGGGCTGCCTTAAAATGTTGATTCCAAACAATTAAAATTGTATAGTGTAATTCAATTGCTTTATTTCAGTTGAGTAGAATAAGGGAAAGTCGTTGACTCAACTTTCTCAAGCTTGCTCAGTTAACAACGTTCCCTTATTCTACTCAACTGAAATAAAGCAATTGAATTGATTCGTATTATCAAGTACTATAAATTAATTACATAAGTTTAATAAACACAGGAAAATAACTTGATTACACTATACAATTCTAATTGTTTGGAATCAACATTTTAAGGCAACCCTTGGAATTGAATTTTTAAATTGAAGGGGCTATTGCAGTTTACAGTGCAGTCAAAAAATATATATGTAGTAGTGCAGAGTTATATACTGTACAGTTAAATAGTGCAGGATAAAAAGTATATAAGTAAAGTGACATTGTTCTGTGACATCCTGAAGTTGCAGTATTGCACATTGCACATGATTTAAGAATTTACTTAATTACAGATGAATGAAATTTACAGGCTCAGCAGTTCTAATTGTACAGTCTGTACAGACTGTACAGTACCCCTTCTACAGGGGTTGGGGGTTGAAAAGGGGTTGGAAGAAGCAGTTATATTTTGGTGATTAATCAATCAATAGAATTAAATCTTTAAGATTATATTTTCGAGATGGACTCCAGGATGGACCCCCATGTTTCCACTTTGGTCGTGACTCATTGGGATACCAAATAAACCACATTCTGACTAATTTTATAAAAGAAAAAACATGACTTTGGGTTGACCAGAGTCTCTGCGCACAGGTACTTTGGCAAGCAGTGGGGAAGTGCCAGCCTGCTATAGGTGCAAAAGTGAAAACTAGCCCCGTGACCACCCGAGCGAGCCGCTCCACTTGCCACAGTGTGTGCGTGTGGGTGTGCGTGTTGCATGAGTGACAACCCCTTTTCAATCGATGTACCAGTTTTATTTTAGCATGCCCATTTGTCATTTAATTTTGGACATGAAAATGCAAAAACTACACTTGGTGCAGAGCCCAAGTTAGTAATAGAAAATTAAAGCTGCACTAACTGACTTTGGGATTTCGAAGCAGCGGACTCGCTGGCCTCGCTCTTTCTCCTCCCCTCCCAGCACCCACGAAGCTATCGCCCCCCACCACCCCACACCCACTGTTGTTTACGGAGCTAGCGTCTCCCAATATGGATAGAATCATGTATCGTACATTTGAGCGTGGATGGCGTGACCATAGAATGATAGAACCGGGAAGCGCGGAGGAACAAGACTTTCTTTTGGATGGATGTTTCGCTGTGTAATCAGTAACCATGATGAAGACAAGGAAGCTTCAGGTTAGCTCCGCCGCATGTTGTGCTAACTCAGCTGTTTGTGCTAACGACGGACCTGTAGATTTCTCAAGAAAGTGGGGGCTAGTGGTGCGCTGTGATTGGTTACAATCTGAGACCCGAAACACATTCTCTTCCTTGTTTCATCAAAACTCGATCTAAAATATAATGTCACGCCAGCACAAATCTGCGCTACTTTTTCTTCAAAAGGACGTATATGCCAATGCATTGCATGGATATAGATTGCATTTTCGTATTGAATACAAAAATAAAGTCAATTAGTGCAGCTTTAATTGTGCATGCCAAAATTTGCAAACAGATATTCAATCATTTGTTTTTTGGTGGGTATATTCACATGTTATTTTGGAACAATCTACATAGCCCTAGTTCACACAACTCAGAAGTTGTGTGACATCAACTATTGACATCTGAAAAGGGACAATATATGCTGCTTGCATAAATTGTGAATACATCTTGCCTTAGCCTTCCTCCAGAGGTCAAAGAGGTCAAAATTGCCATCATCTTCCCAAGCTAAATTAAGTACAATGTTGTTTTTATTTAAATCCATGCCCATTCTCATATCAAATCATTCATTTTAATCCATGCAAAGAGGCTTCATCAATATTTCATTATTTCAAATGCAATTTGTGGGACTGTTAGAAGCCTATAAAAGCTAATAGAGTGGTGGGAAAAAAACACATTATGGGAGAGAAAGAAGAACAGACTTGAAATGAAATATAGGGTGAAGAGTGAGCTGAAGTGACAGGGAAGCGTCTGGGGAGCGTGCAGTGCAGACAAGATGAGCAGTGCGTGTCTAGGCTGTACATACTGACGACACACTCTCTAGGATGTAGACTCCTGTGTTGACCTTTGCCTTCCTGTCAAAATGAATCACTAGTTTTCTTCATACGCAAACATGAACCAAAAGTCTATACTCAAATGCATGTCAAAGATGCTAAATATATAATAACTGCAGGGCTGACAGCAAGCTTATGAGCATCTATAAAAAACAGAAATATTGATCGATTGAAATTCAAATGAAATCTGCATGGGAGCCAGCTCACTCAGTGCTCGTGGCTAAGTATAGGTTGACGAGCAAATCTATGATCAGACTTGATCTCTGCGTTTCTAATGCATGCAGTACATTCATTTTATTCACAGGGCAAGATTAGCCATTTCGGTCTATACGCTAATAATATAGAATTTCTTCATCAAGTGAGTGCACCAAACAAGGCTCAAATTTATAGAAGGAGGGCTATACACCTAGACAAAGTAAATTATTTTCCAGAAATACTCTTGAACTATGTCCTTCTGTATAGATTAAAGCTGGAGAACCAAACAAAAACAAACAAAAACTATCCATGCAAAAAAATCCTCCTTGTTCCTCGCTCTATAAACAAAACTTTTCTATTCGTAGTTTTCACAAGAATGAATTAATTTCTTCTGAACCGTGCAAGATAAATAAACCTGCCTTGTCTTGCCCCTCAATGAATTTCCATGGCGAACTTGGGCATCTTTTCAACCGTTTCAACCCTGCTAACCAAACACTCCATTTGCTTGTGGATTGTGCATGTTTAAAAGCTCATTCATGAGAGGACCCCGCAGAGTGACCCTACCTCGATCCTCCCGGTGTCTGGCTGAAACCCTCGAGCAGGATCCTCGGTAGTCACGCGGCACTGGATGGCACAGCCATTCACTCGGATCTTCTCCTGCTTCAGCCCCAGCTCCGGCAGACTGCGGCCCTCGCACACACGCAGCTGAGCGTGAACCAGGTCGACACTGAAACACAGACATGAAATGAGAACGAGGGGAAATTTGAGAGGTTATGATCTCCATCCATCCATCCATTTTATTCTCTTTAATCGATTTCTGGGTTGGGGGGGAGGAAATCAGAGCTGCACCCAGAACACGTAGCACAAGCCCCTCACTGATCCTCCTGCAGGTGGTGAGTCCACAGGAGCCTTGATTATTCAGCAGGGGCTTCAGGCAAAGTGGGGTTAAGTGTCTTGCCCAAGGACACAACGACAGCAGTCATCAGCGGGAGTCATGAAGTCTTGTGGTTTGCTCTAACCCACAACCTTCAGACTCTAAGGCCAATGCTCAACCAACTGAGCCACTGTCGCCCCACTGTGGTTTTGATCTGTTGAATTCTATATTGAGTTTCTGTGGTTTTATCAGACAGTCTTGAACACATTTTGTGAATAAATCAAAGGTAGTAAAGGTGCACTTGACTTATCCCCGTTCGGTCAGGAGCAGTGATCGCTGTTGAACAAGCGCCCGGGGACCCATAAGTGACCCTCGGCTTCGTCAGGACTACCACAGCTGGAGGATTTTTACCTAGTGTACATGTTTTTAGTGATATGAGAATGAGGAGCATCCGGAAAAAAACTACGCAGACACAGGGAGAACATGCAAACTCCATTTAGAAAGTGATCCAAGCAAGTGACAGAGGCCAAAAATACATTTTTTAAAGGACATGTAATTACATAGACCCAATTTTCCTTTTATAAAAGTTAAGTATCCCAGCTTTAATTTGTTCAGTGATCAATGATCTGATATTAATTTTAGAAAATGAAATGCCAATGTCACTCAAAACTGTTTTCCTCCATTGCAAGTAGTCAAGCCAAGCCAATACAAAAGGAGAATTTGGAAATGTATTTAAAACATTTGACATGCAGATCAAAACAGACACACACACACACACCTCTCCCATCACTCACTCTATGATGTTTGCTGTGTGTTTAATTCTTCCAAATGTTAGCTCCACGCCCTTAGATACACATTGGTTTTAAAGTTTTAAAGTGGACATATCGTGTTTTCAAATAATTGATTTTTACATCTAAATCATTAATTTGTGGCCTATATAAAGCATAACTACAATGCCTGGGTCTCATTATTTGTAGCTCCACGGGCCTTTCTTCTACACTTGTTCTGAGGTGCGTATGAGAGCAACCTGTTTTGGTGCTGTCTCTTTAAATGCAAATGAGGCGCTTTTGACCAACGGATTTACATGTGTTTTGTATGAGGCAGACAGACCGGCCCAAATATGGGCATCGGCATAGACGTCGGAACTATTTTCTGAGAGGGGGGGCGGGTTTTTGTTGGGAGAGTCGAGGGAGAGACTCATACTTGGATTACACTGGATAAAAACATACCATCTTAATTGTTAAGAAAAACAAAATAAACAATATATATCAAGCAAGTCACTTATCAAACTGAACTTTTTTTTTTTCAATACGCATTCATGCGTCAGTCTCTCCGGTGGCTTCATTGTGTTGTGTAGCCCAGTGACGTGCGGTCAGATGAGGCAGGCAAGGCCCTCACCTAAGATCATAGAAAGAAAAGTAATAAAATGGATACAATAATGTTTGGTCACTTTATCAAGTGATTTGTGCTGTGCCTTATTTCATTTATTTATACCTTGAAATTGCAGATTTGACAGAGCGGCGCTGTGAGGCAGCCTCTCTTGGGAGACGTAAAAAGCAACAGCTCACAGGGAGAGTCCTGTGAGGTGCTATCAAACTGTTTTCTCTGTTTATCACAGTTTAAAAAGTTCAAAAATATTTAATTTACAATCAACATGTTTACATTTAAGAGGATGGCTCATAAATTGTGTTTTTGAAGCAAATATGGGTCTTAATCGCGCTCAACCACAGCTTGTAAGTGAGGAAAGCCTCAAGGGGGCGCTTGTGAGCCCAAACTTTGGCTGCATCCAATTCCATCAGAAAGCTCCTTTCTTGTTCTTCTTCTGCTAAGGGCAGCTACAGATTTGGCTAACATACCTATAATACATTTTAAGATAATTTAAAATGCACTTAGAGTAATGTTTTGCTTCCAATGATGATATGAATCATAAGAAAAGGAGGTGAAGGGTAAGGTTGAATTTAGAAATTGGATTTACCCGGGAGTCGGCTGCAGCAAAACTCGGAGTTTACGGAGGAGACACCCGTTTTTTTTACTTTTTAAAACTCATTGAACTTATTTCCAAATGGAGGATTACATGTCTGTGCTCAAACTATTATCTGGACTTAAACATGAAACTGGTCCTAACTGAAGTGGTCTGTGCTGTTCATTAATACCTAAGGTAAGGCCCATAACACACTTTGTACTTTTTACAAACGTTTGCGTTTTGTATGAGAAAACAATGCAGACATTAAATCATATTCTGCTGTAGCCAAACAAATTGTGTATAAGCCGCTCCTGTTCCTGTAGGTCCTGTTGGTTTATATGATGTATATAATCATATGAACACATGATTGATCCCCCACCGCACGTCACTGGTGTAGCCAGGTCTCTAATCTGCGCAAGGCTGAGAAAGAGCGCTCAGAGGCTGCGACAGATATTAGCCAGACAGAGCTTCATAAGCACCTCCGACAGCATGGAGCGGGTTTTGGGCTGCAAGGAACGCAGGATAGTGATAACTTCTCGCTCCCGGCACACGCGGAGGGGGTGCGGCCGCACCCCCCGCACCCCTAGTTCCGACGTCTATGGGCATCGGCCCTTTGGGCATTGCCCGGTACGAACGATGGCCAGTCCAGCCCTGTACATGTTCGCTGGCATCCTTGAGCTTGGACTACAAATTCGAAGTGATGCACAGTAGAGGAGGGCTGGGCCGAAGTGTTTTGTTAGACGCCCATGCCCTTATATAGCAGTCTCGCTGCAAATACTGTGACGTAATAATTCTAAACACGTAATAGAGAATGGCAAAATCAGAACGGGTTGAAAAATCTTACCTAAACAGAATATGAAGTGTTCTCTGCAACCCATGAAGAGACTGATTTCAACTTTTTTGCACTTCTAGAGGCTCCAACTACACAACATAAGGCATTTAAGGCACACAAAGTGGATTTTTCATGATATGTCCCCTTTAAATTATATGAAAGTGTAAGACCAGCCAATATTCTACCTTCAAGTACAAGATACATGTTGCTGGTTTGTCCAAATGACAAAGGGATCTTAATTTTACTAAATTCTTTTTTGGGGGGGTCATTTTTAATATTGTTTGTTTTGGTTTTTGCTTCAAGTTTAGTTTAAGTCTGGCTAAATGGCAATGTGTTGTACAATCATCTGGCCGAGAGCACATGGCTATACCAAAGATTTGGCCATTAAGAGTATTTGTATAGGTGTTGATAGATGCTTCAGCTAAAAGGTGAAATACATGTCTGATCAATAAATGTGTAGCTAAAAGTTAGAATATTAAAAGTGTATGACAATCATATGAGTAAAGTCCTGTCCTGAGGCATGCATCAATGGAGTAACACAGGAGACACATAAAGACCAAAAGAAAGTTTTGCATGGAAAATGGCACCTTCATACATTCAGCCCTCTGACACTCCAGTGATTACACTTTTACGCCATTTAATGAATACCACTCCGCCATAGACCCAGGCACCAGTCCCTCATGCTAATAGCACTGCATTATGTAAATGTTATACAATAATTAGAATCTCAATTAGGAGAAAATTTGAATGGACATAGGCAAAGTGTAGTTCATTTATTGCTCTTCCCTTATATGCTCCCTCACCCCTCACATGCGTGGCCTCATCTGTATGCATTCATTTGAATAGTGAGAAAGCCAAAATGAGACCGTATGACCTTCCCCCGCACGGCAAACCTCCAAAGATTCAAACTTCGAAAAACGTCTATTCTAAACTATGGAGTCAAGGAATGTAAGACAAATATATAACATAGGGCTAATTTTAAGATGAACATACGGTAACAAAAGGGGTAATTGCAAAGTTAAAGATACAGTGCCTTGCGAAAGTAACCGGCCCCATTGAACCTTTCGCCACATTTCAGGCTTCAAACATAAAGATATAAAATTTAAAAATTTTTGTCATGAATCAACAAGTGGGACACAATGGTGAAGTGGAACAAAATGTATTGGATAATTTAAACTTTTTTAACAAATAAACTGAAAAGTGGGGCGTGCAATATCATTCGGCCCCTTTACTTTCAGTGCAGCAAACTCACTCCAGAAGTTCAGTGAGGATCTTTGAATGATCCAGTGTTGTCCTAAATGACTGATGATGATAAATAGAATGCACCTGTGTGTAATCAAGTCTCCGTATAAATGCACCTGCTCTTTGATAGTCTCAGGGTTCTGTTTAAAGCGCAGAGAGAACCATGAAGACAAAGGAACACACCAGGCAGGTCCGAGGTACTGTTGTGGAGAAGTTTAAAGCCGGATTTGGATACAAAAAGATTTCCCAAGCTTTAAACATCTCAAGGAGCACTGTGCAAGCAATTATAATAAAATAGAAGGAGTATCAGACCACTGCAAATCTACCAAGACCCGGCCGTCCCTCCAAACTTTCATCTCAAACAAGGAGAAGACTGATCAGAGATGCAGCCAAGAGGCCCATGATGACTCTGGATGAACTGCAGATAACTACAGCTGAGGTGGGAGAGTCTGTCCATAGGACAACAATTAGTCGTGCACTGCACAAATCTGGCCTTTAAGGAAGAGTGGCAAGAAGAAAGCCATTTCTCAAAGACATCCATAAAAAGTCTCGTTTAAAGTTTGCCACAAGCCACCTGGGAGACACACCAAACATGTGGAAGAAGGTGCTCTGGTCAGATGGAACTAAAATTGAACTTTTTGGCCACAATGCAAAACGATATGTTTGGCGTAAAAGCAACACAGCTCATCACCCTGAACACACCATCCCCACTGTCAAACATGGTGGTGGCAGCATCATGGTTTGGGCCTGCTTTTCTTCAGCAGGGACAGGGAAGATGGCTAAAATTGATGGGAAGATGGATGGAGCCAAATACAG